CCCCATAGTAATATTTGACTAAGTTTTAATTCAAATGGGGACCCCACCAAATAATTTAATTGGCCTACCCCTCCCTAACCCTAATTAGAATCACCCAATAGTAAAACATGTTGCCAACAAAGCATCATCACAACACCATTATTATATGCAGTCTATTCTTGGTACTATGTCGTGCTCTTTCGACAAAGACTTGGATAGAGTCACTGGCCCCACTCCACAAAAATGGGGCCCACTGCATTCACACCACCACCTCAACGACTCCCAACGCCTATCCCTCCGCCGTAGGTTATAGACAACACAGCAGATAAACTCACTTTTCATAAAGTATAAACAGTAAAACGCGACATTAACGCGCAGGACGCCTTTCTTTCCACGCTTTTACTTTCGTCCCCAAAGTTGACTTCACGCAATCCTACACGCTTAACCTAACTATTCTGCTAACTTGCTTACCCGCCAAAACTTAACACAAAATCCATACTTCTGATAAAAACTCGTTGAAGGTTAAGATTAATTACAGAGATGAATTAAATAAAAAAAGATGTGAAGATTCGAGACGTTACTGATAACTTTTTTGTGATTTTTATTGAAATTGCTGAAACGAGTATCTGAATTTCACGAAGAAAGGTTAACGTGAACACTGGCGTTTTTGGTGGTGTTACAGATGGGGCAAGTATGGAGGGACGATCCGCAAACAGTGCAGAGACAGAGATGCCGGCACGGCAGAAGCAACACGCATGATTCCTCTTTTCCACAACGCCTGCACATCCTGTTCTTGTTATTCACTACAGCGTTGTTCACACCGCCAATGGAATTGTTGACAAATTCACGTGAGGAGCACTCGCGTCGGTCTATTTCGTCGAAGTTGCTGCCGCAGCATGACCGTGCGTCGTCGATCAACGCCGTGTCTGCGTCTTCGAAACAGTGGCGCTGTTGTTTTTCGTCCTTGACTTGAGTTAGGACTTGTTCAAGATGGCATCTCAAGGTCTTCGCTGTGGCTTCATTTGTCTGAGCTAAATCTCGCCATATCTGATTCTCCACGCAGAGAGACTTCACTCGCTCTTCTAACGCCCAATTTAATTTCCCAATCTTCTCAGCTTCTTCCTCCTTGGATTTCAGTTTTTTCATTACGTTTTCTTCAACTGCCGCCGCTAATCTCTGAGAATATCTCTTCCGCCTTTCTTCAATTTCCATCCTAACTTTATCCATCTGTTAGAAAAAAAACCAATATGTTAAACTAATGAATACGAATAATAATTAAAAAAAAAAAAAACAATCAAAGCAAGAAGATGGAATATAATCTTACGTGTTGAGCAATAAATCGATCGATTTCTGATTGCTGTTGTTGAATCTGAAAAGAAATGTCTTCCCCAAGAAAAGTGAAGGAACCGCAACGGTAATCTAGACTCTGAGGATTGATTGCATCTCTTGAACGCTTTCTAGAAATAGGAGCAGCATACGTGAGACCACTGTCCGATGTCATTGTAACAGTATTCACAGGTGCCGAATCATTAATCATTGAACCATACATCGGAAGCACAGTCTCCGTCGCCTTCGTAGTTCCAGATAACGGAGCCACCATGCCGTATCCCAAAGGAACACTGTACATGTTCCCATTCCCTTCAATACCAATCATTGCCATTTCTCTGCATTCATTAAAAAGCATAAACAAATCCAGTCTCCATTTTACATCCATCGAGAAAGAAAACAAGAACAGAAAATATTTACCTATTGAAATCAATCTGCGGAGGAAAAGGAGTGAGATGCCGAGCTTCAACAGCCATTGATATCTACGAAAATTTCTTGGTTTTTCTTTAATCACTAAGCAGATCTTCCTATATGTATGATGAATATGTATCTGTCTTTGTACGGTGGTGGAAAGTTCAAGGAACGGACGAAAGGAAATTGGCATTCATGAATGGGAAAATGCAGGCCAAAATGGGTGGGGTTTATTAAGGGTTTGGTTTGGCTTTAAGGATAGAGAGAGAAAAAAAAGTTGGTGAATTAGAGAGAGAGAGGGGGAGATTTATTTGTTTGTTTGTTTGTTGGACTGGTGGGGATGATAAGGAAGTGTCTATTTGGTGGAAATTGATTCAGTTACGAAAAATGCTATAATGCCCCTTATTTTTTCTTGACTCCGTCGGAAACTCGAACGTCATTTGTAACTAACCCAGGGCTGGTTATTTCGTAATTTCGCCCAAATCTCGGGGGTGATTTCGGAATTTCAAAATTTCTATTTTCTCATTACTGACCTGCCACGTGTTGTGGCATGTGCGACGTGGAGGGACACATGGGTGTAGTACTCACGTGGCAGAGTGGGACCCAGGTACGATGTCCTTGTGCGGTGCTTGGGTAGGCAGTTTGTCCATTTGAGGACAACTTAGAACGTGCGGCACCCATTGGAAACCCTCCCCAAGGTAATGATACTTTTCCACATGATTAAATTACAAGATTTTCTACCATGAAATAATGTTCCAACTTCACGCTTCCTTCGATTCGATTAATATATGAAAAGTCAATAATTCTCACTTGTCAATTTTAAATTACTTTTTTTTTTTTAACCAAATGTAACATTGAGATTAGTTATTTCTATGTTGAGGAATAAAATCTTCAATACAAGCAATGGTCCTTCTAATTTTAATTTAAGTCAAAATCAATAATTAATTTTAACAACATATTTTGTGAGGTTCACAATTTTTCAACTACACATTTCATCAACTTTTATCAAAATCTATTAAAAATCTGATTTTAATATGTTGACCTCGAAATTCGATAAGACACGTGATCAACATATCCCGACTCCACTCTTATTGGACAAAGCATTAGTGCACGTGGTCATATCTTCGATTGTGGGAGAAGCGACTGCAAGCACTCCGACACTCAAATCATTCAATACTAAGAGGTGTGGAGTGTGAGCGAGACACAATGATGTAAGTAATAGTATTCGAATAGAAGAGAGAGATGTTATTAGTCAAGCACTAGCGTTCCTATAGGGTCCGTTTTTCTGCTATCAATGAAACAGAAAGAAAGTGGTAAAAAGATGGAGTCAATGTGAGGTCTAGCCCCGTTCCCAGTCGTGTAAGGTGTTTGTAATAAATGGGTAGGATTCACCAACTTTTATAACTTCATTTGCTAAAATTATACATTAAACATGCTCTTAATGAAGGGATGGAGTAAAATGTGTTTGCATATATCTTGATTCTTGTGTCTTTTTATATATACTATAGATTTTAGGATTAAATATATGTACAATACTTATTTGTTGGTATTCATTCATTGAAATCTGGAAAGTATATTGAATTATGTGGGCAGGGCAGGGTTGGGTTGCTGCAACCTCCTTCACGCCCCATGAATTGCGCGCTGTCACACTTTGGTTTTATTTATCCTCATAATGCAAAAGGCCCAAAGTTCCTGAATAAAGCTTGCAAAGGACAAAGGTGGTCGAAAGGTGGTACGTACAACGTCTATCTATACATATACATATATTAATTAATTGCAAAATGATGATTCTTTCAAGGTAATTAATCTTTCCTCGATANATATACAGAAATGATCTAATGAGCACCGGTGCTCATCTTATCCTAAACACCAATGAGTTGGCACATTAATTCATTGGTGGATTGGAACTCACAAAATCTTTATCCACCAATGAATTAATGTGCCAACTCATCGGTGCTTAGAATAAGATTAGCACCGGTGCTCATTAGATCATTTCTGTATATATATATATATGATACATCATCGATGTTTAACATAAGATGAGCACTAGTGCTCGTTAGACGTGCCATTTTTTATTTTTTTGATTCTATATATTTTCAAATTGGTCATTTTGCCTAGCAACCACCCTTTAGTGATGATCGCATTGACCAAAACTTCATCAATCATCCATTCATCCTACATGTATATTAACTTATACATTAAATTTGACATTCTTTGATATGAAATTCATCATAACCATTGATTTTTAAAACTCACTTTCACATCACTAGCCAAATTTTTGACACGTAGGGAGATGTCAACAAGAATGTATAGGTAGCTTAATTGAAACTTCATAGGAGTAACATAGGAAAAATGAGAACAATTTTGCTACATGTACATTAACTTTGACATCATGGATGACGTTATTGCGAGATAACAGTTTTTAATACATTGACTTTTAACAATATTTTAAACAATCAATTGCATAAATTTTAACAACTCACACAATGTCAGCAATAATGCCATCTAGGAATTTATAGTTTAATTCAAATGAGAATGTTCAGATGGATGCGTCACCGTGATAAAACAGATAAGATATAATAAAAATATATATATACTCATTAATAAGTGGACGTGGAGCTGATTGATATCGATTGAGGACAAATGAAGGAAACAACGACTTAAATAGTTGAGAAAGATTGTGCATACCATAAGAGGGAAGTAGGATGTAGATGTTTTATATCTTTTAGTAAAAATATAACAATGAAATAAAGAGGGTGAAGAAAAAAGTATCGTATAACGGATGGACATAGACTTTACATTTAAAGCATGGATTTACGTAACATTCAACATTCAACTCGTATAGTCGTCGAAAAGTAGTTGAATATCTAAATCCAAAATCCTGGCACAAGAAAGAGCAACTAAATCTCAAGTAGGTCCACTTAGCTTAAAAGGAGAGGCTGTCCTGATTAAATTGCAATCCAATTCCAATAGCAATGAGGGAGACAACTTGTGGTAAGAAGAATCCTATTTCCTAAGGCAGGTAGATGAGTAGATGAAAGGCAAAGGCAGAATTTAATAAATAGTGGGTGGGTTCCCCAATGCCAATGCCAATGGGGAATTATTCATTCAAATCTTTCTTTTCCTATCTTTTTCTACACTCTATTATTGCTTCCATCAATACATCCACAAATTGGCAAAAAAAACAAAAAAAAAATGTGAAAAAAAAAAGTAACTAAAAGGGCAAAAAGGAAAAAAAAAATGTTGGTAATGGGTCTCATCCCTCACTGCATTGAATTATTCTAACAGGGAAATTGTTATTCAAGATGCAAACACAATTTTCTCAGCCAATCTTGAGAGAATCTTTCCCTCTTTTAAATTGATTTTGAACAGTGAAGAGTGAGTCTGACAGATTCAAAGATATTGGTTTTCTTGGTGGAGGAAATGAATAAGATTCCCAATAAAAATGTGGATTAGGTATCCTATAAATTGACTGAAATGAATGAGGGCAGGGCTAAAAAAAAAAATCCAGAAAGAAATGGAAAACTTTAATTAATTTCAGGATTAAAATTAATCTTTTTTATCATATATTTCGATCCTTCAAAAGAAATTTCACTTGTTTTAGTAAGTTAAAAATGTCTTTCAAAAAAAAAAAAAAAAATATTAAGATATCCTTAAAAAAAAAAAATTCATTTCAGTAGGCATGCGGTTACAAATTTGAGATTTGTCTCCCCGTTAAATGTTTTATATTTCAGCATAGAAGCTCTCATTAGCAAATAGGATGATATTATTTTAAATGTGATTGTCACTTATAGCGCATCGTGTTGGTATCTGTCCATTTGCTAATAAGAATTGATATGTCGAGGTGTCAACAATTTAAATGGAGGATAAAAAATTTTGACCTTGAAATCCAACAAAATATGTTGTCAACAGATCATGACTCCACTCCTCTGTACGCATATATTACATGTACACTTGGATAAAGTGTTAGATGCACGGGGTTGTAGCTCCGATGATAGGAAGACAATCGTGGGTTCAAAAGCTCTAGTTAGTGAATGATTGAGGATGATTTTTTTGAGTGTGGAAGAAACACAATGAATATGAGTAATAGTGAAAAGAGAATACAATCGGTTTGCAATATAAGGATGGTGTTTAAAATTGCATTATCTTTGGAAGACACCAAATATGAGTTTTTATGCTAAGAAGGAAGATGTGATGTCCATGGGATACTTGACACATGATCTCATCTTATCGGCGCACGGATCAAGTTTGATTGGTGTCAATCTCAATTGTTCTATGCATGTGACCATCTTAAATGAGCTAAAAATAGCCATTCTGTCATAGGCTTGTAATCTGAAAAGATGATTAATGTAGGGTGTCAAATTTTTCAGACGTACAAAACATCTTTGTACGGAATATCTCTTTGGTTGAAGCGACGTTTGTAGAAAAAGCGTTATCAAGGTAAGGTCATTCACTTCGAAAATCCACTGAAGCAAAAGGCGGCACCTCGTCTCGAAAGCAATGCTTCGAGTACATTGACATCACTTCAAATGAGGCGCCCCAACCATTTTGCTCTATTGTTTAATCGCTTCGTAAAGAGTTTAGGAGGGGGGCGATGTAATGTGGATTGTGGACCTTTGCATGCTTCTTGCTTTTACTTAGCTAATTATCACATGACATGTCTCGTGAGATGAAACATAACAAAGGGTATAACAATTAGGGGTGAACATGATTCATTTGAATGATATTTGAACTATTTCAAAACAAACTATCTTATGGCCTCAAATGAAAACTACTCAAATTGCAATCAACCTTTATTCACTCCTATAGCACAGTCGATCTCTAAATGCACGTCACACCTACTCAAATTGGTCAAGAAAGCATGCCAACATTGGAGTTGACGTCCACTCTAGCTAAAGAAGTTTCATACTAAAATTTCAACTGTTATCACTATTTCAAAGAATCAAAGTTACGTGTAGTACAATATTGTCCGCAAAACAAAAGTCAGAACTGGGGTCAGATAAAGAAAAGAATAATCGATACACATTTCCACAAATAATCTAGTAAAAAGTACGAAAAAAATCAT